TGGTTTATACTGGGATGGAATTGGTTTATACTGGGATGGAATTGGTTTATACTGGGAGGGAATTGGTTTATACTGGGAGGGAATTGGTTTATACTGGGATGGAATTGGTTTATACTGGGAGGGAACTGGGGGTGTGAAAATCCGGGGGGTGTTTTGGGGTGAAAAACGGGGATTTTAGGGGTGAAAATGGGAGTGGGAGGGAACTGGTTTATACTGGTCCATACTGGTCCATACTGGTCTCTAACCGGTCCATACTGGTCTCTAACTGGTCTCTAACCGGTCCATACCGGTTCTAACTGGTCCATACTGGTCCATTCTGGTCTCTATCCGGTCCATACTGGTCTCTAACTGGTCCATACTGGTCTCTAACCGGTCCATACTGGTCCATACTGGTCTCTAACCGGTCCATACTGATCCATACTGGTCTCTAACCGGTCCATAATGGTCTCTAACCGGTCCATACTGGTCCATACTGGTCTCTAACCGGTCCATACTGGTCCATACTGGTCTCTAACCGGTCCATACTGGTCCATACTGGTCTCTAGCCGGTCCATACTGGTCTCTAACCGGTCCATACTGGTCCATACTGGTCTCTAACCGGTCCATACTGGTCTCTAACCGGTCCATACTGGTCTCTAACCGGTCCATACCGGTCTCTAACCGGTCCATACTGGTCTCTAACCGGTCCATACTGGTTCATACTGGTCTCTAACCGGTCCATACTGGTCTCTAACGGGTCCGTACCGGTTCTAACTGGTCCATACTGGTCTCTAACCGGTTCATACCGGTCTATTCAGGTCCATACCGGTCTATTCAGGTCCATACCGGTCTCTAACCGATCCATACTGGTCCATACTGGTCTCTAACCGGTCCATACTGGTCCATACCGGTCTCTAACCGGTCCATACTGGTCTCTAACCGGTCCATACTGGTCTCTAAGCGGTCCATACTGGTCTCTAACCGGTCCGTACTGGTCTGTAACCGGTCCGTACCGGTTCTAACCGGTCGGTCCCGGTGCCGCAGGTGGCGGGAGGCGGCGCAGCGGCAGCAGC